CCAGAAGTGGCGCTGTGGCTCAAGTGGTAGAGTGCTAGCCTTGAGCTGAAGAGCTGAGGGACAGTGCCCAGGCCCAGAGTTCAGGCCCCACGACTGGACCAAAAAATAAAAAATAAAAAAGAACCTTCCCAAAATAACTCTTGCTGTTCTCCTCTAGGTTCAATCACTCAGATGCCAAAAGTGGGAAATTGAGAGAAAATGGGTTCTCTCCACTGGGAGAAAGCAAGGGAAGGGGTGACACTGCCCAAAAAGAAATGTATTCTCTACCTGGCTTATGCCACTGTAACCTCTCTATATATCACCTCTACAATAATAATTTTTTAAAAAGAATGTACCTCCAGATCTAATTCAGATGGAATTTTTTCTATAGCTTCTATTTCCTTCTCCTGCTCCAACATCACATCTATCTGCTGTTCAGGACTCATCGGTCTACTTCCCAGGAAGGTTGAAGACATGTCCATGTCAAGTTTTGTGGATCGGGTGGCTGAGGTGCTGCAGACCAGGTAGGAGCTGAAGAGTAGACATGATTCCCCCCCTTAGGGCCTCCACATCAGTCCTGGGATGTCAGACCTACTTTCTTCAAGTTGATGAGTATGATTTTGACAGAAGCTCCTCTCCTCTAATGGCAACTGTGAGTTTCAAGGAGGACCCTGGTTTTGCTCAGTTAATCTCTGATACTTTAGGGCCTAAATTCAGTTAAGGCAATTGATTCCCTGAGTATCTGAAAATGCTTAGAAGAAATGAACCCAGAGCTGCTTTTGGTACAGCTGAGTGCCTTGTTATTTTCCGGTACCCACAGTGACACCTTACCAGCTGGGATCCTGTTTGTCTCTGGAAGATAACTTCATCTTCTTCTTCTTGGGCTCAGATGAGCTTTTTGATCCTTAAGGAATAGAGAAGAAAAAAAAATCTGGGGTAGGCAATTCATTCTTTGTCCAAAAGGTCTTGACCTTGGAATAGTTCAGGAACATACCCACGGGAGTGGGCATGATATGGTCAGTAGTGTCATTAGTGGGCTCTGGTCTCCCATGTGTCACTAATTACTTATGTGACTTCACTACTCTTCCCCATCTTTGGCTTCCCCAGAAGTACAATGAAAAGAGCATACCATCCATTCATCCATACATGTGATGACTATTAGTGGCCTATTCAACTGGCTTTGCAATACTACCCACTCTATGTTCTAACTCTCAGTTGAATCATGGCTTAGCACTTGCTTTTAAATAGACCTAGGCTTTTAAATTCAATGCATTTAGGTTTTGTGAGTGTGCACATGCGCGTGCACGCGCGCGCGTGTGTGTGTGTGTGTGTGTGTGTGTGTGTGTGTGTGTGTGTGTGCCAATACTGTGGTTTGAACTCAGGGCCTGGGTGCTTTCCCTTAGCTCTTTCACTCAAGTCTAGTGCTCTACCACTTGAATTACACCTCCATTTCTGTTGTTTTGCTGGTTAATTGGAGATAGGAGCTTCACAGATTTGTCTGCCAAGGATGGCTTTGCGCCTCACTCTTCAAATCTTGGCCTCCAGAGCAGTTAAGCTTACAGGCATGGGCCACTAGCACCCAGAAACATATATTTTAGTTTTAGCTTACAGGAAATTTTAAACCAGTATCATTTATCAAAAGTAATGACAAATAGAAAAAATTAATATCATTTGCAATAAATAGATATATAAATTAAATATTGTATAAAAACTATTTTAGTTGTTTTTACTTAGATAACATAACTTGCTAAAGGCTATAACTTGAGGAAATTAATAAGTAATAAAGAAATGTGAGTAAATATTAATATTGTACTGATACTTTGATGGAATCAAGAGTATTGAAAATTCAGGTAAGATTTATTTTGAACTCATACTTTGAGTCTGGGCCTATTTGTGCTCAGGTTAGTGTTTTACCACTCAAGCCACAGTGCCACTTTCAGGTTTTTCTGAGTAGTTTTATTAGAGATAGTTTCATGGACAGAGATAGTCTTGTGGACTTTTCTACCTGAACTGGCTTGAAGCCACAATCCTCAGATTTCAGCCTCCTGAGTAGCTAGGATTACAGGCTTGAACCACTGGCATCCAGCCACTTTGAGCTTCTTAATATACTCTGGACATTGGATTACTCAAGAAGAGATATTTCCACAGCCAGGCATGGTGGCTTACGTCTGTAATTCTAACTACTTGTCCAAAGGAGGCAAAGATTATAGGAGTGTGTTTTGTGTTTTGTGTATTGAGGCCAGCCCAGACATAAAAGTTTAAAAGACTCTATCTTACCCAATAGTTGAGTGCAGAGGTGCACTTGCTACCCCAGCTATGGGGGAAGCACAGTGGCTAGAAGCAGTGGTACATGCTTGTCATCCCCAGTGGCATGGAGAAGCACAAGTAGCACTGCAGATCAAGCTTGCCTGGGCATCAAGTCAAACCCTATTTTAAAAATAACCTGATTCAGGGGTTGGGAAGGTGGCTCAGTGGTAGGCACTGTCCTTCAGCTCTTCAGCTCAAGGATAGCGCTCTACCACTTGAGCCACAGTGCCACTTCCAGGCTTTTCTGCTTAGGTGGTGCTGAGGAATCGAACCCAGGGCCTTATGCATGCAAGGCAAGCACTCTACCACTGAGCCACCTTCCCAGCCCATCACAGCTTATATTCTTGAGGCTTAAGTGGAGTTGCAAACCTAGGATCAACCTAAGCAGAAAAGGCTGGAAGTGGCTCTGTGGCTCAAGTGGTAGAGCGCTATCCTTGAGCTGAAGAGCTGAGGGACAGTGCCCAGGCCCAGAGTTCAGGCCCCATGTCCGACAAAATAAAATAAAATAAAATAACCGATTCAGGGAAACTGAGGTGTGGCTCAAGTGGTAGAGCATCTGTCTTACAAGACCCACCTGCCCCCTAAAAATGAAGACCCATTTTCTATGTGAGCCAGAAATAACCACAGTGTCAAATAAAAGTTATAACTCAATTTTCTGAGCTGAGGAGGCAAAAGTTGGAAACACGGGGGAATAACAGAATGTCAGGACACACTGGGATGTGAAGAACTGGAACCAGGGCCCAGAACCAAAGCAAAGCTGAGAAGACAGCAACACTGTCATGCAGTTAAATCAAATGATTCCTCCATCTGTATGGTGGCTAAGGGTGGCAAAAAGGGCTGATGACAGCTGGGCCAAACTTAGATACTGCCCCAGGGACCAGCTTTATGAAATTCTCAATTGGCACCAAAGGATTGGAGTCCCAAGTATAAAATCTGGGGGATGATGTGAAGGCCCAAGAGACCAGACAGAAGGAGAAGAGATAAAACAGCCAGATGAAGAAGGGCATGCTGTACATTATGGCAATATGGGAGAATAAGCAAACATTATTTATAAGGATGGCGATTAGGAGCTGGTTACTCTGGGGTAGGATTTTGTGAAGTCAAGGAGATAACTGTTAAGGAAGGAGGCACAGTAGAATTTTCTCTATCATGGAAAGGTTTTATGTCTTGTGTGGCTGGTAACTATATATTATAAGCCGCTGTCAAAACTCATTGACCTAAGCCAGGTGCCAATGGCTTACACCTGTAAATCCTAGCTACTCAAGAGGCTGGGATCTAAGGAAAGAGACTCTTATCTCCAGTCAAGGTGTGGTTCAAGTGGTAGAGTGTCAGTCTTGAGAAAAAAAAAGCCAAGCAAGACGGGGGAACCTTAGTTCAAGACCTAGTATTGGCGCACATGCACACACACACACACACACACATACACACACACACATGATATAACCTCCTTGAACTAAACACTTACGATGTTTACATTTTATTGTGTATGAATTACAAATCCAATAAAAATGGAGGAATGCATGAAACAAAAAGAAGAAAAACCCTCAACATAGTTTTAAAATTAAATTCTCAAGTAAGCACCAGTTGCTCACACTTGTAATCCCCCTGGCTACCCAGAAGGCTGAAATCTGAGGATCCTGGTTCAAAGCCAGCCCAGGCAGGAAAATCCAAGGGTCTAATCTTCAATTAACTGCCAAAAAAAGTCAGAAGTGGAGCTATGGTTCAAGAGTAGAGTGCTAGCCCTAGAACCAGCACACAAAGAAAAATAATTAATGATTTCACTCAGTATAGATTGAAAATGGAAAATATGAGACAGAGCAGATTGGCTCCAAAGCAAAACTAACAAAAAAGTACTAAGGGTTACCCTTAAAGAGGTGTGTGTATGCGTGCTCACACACATGTGGGGGGATGCGTGTGTGTGTGTGTGTGTGTGTGTGTGTGTGTAAGGCACTATGGTAAGCAACTTCAAGAAAGGCTTTAAGAATGCCCACCTCCTGTACTACTTTGTATAACCCCTTTCCCTTGTAGGCTAGACCCATTATTTACCATTTATCATACTTCTAATAAAAGATGGTAAAAGTGACAGGATGTCAGTTTCAAGTTAATTTCCAAAAATTATTGTGGTTTCTGTCTCTGTCTCACTCACTCCAAAGGAAGCCAGAAGCCATGTTGTAAGATACCCTATAGAGAAGTCTATATGTCAAGAAACCATGTATATAGTCAATAGCCAGCAAGGACCCAAGGGTGTATGTAAACTTGGTAATAAACCCTTCCCTACTTGCCTTTAGATGACTATGGCTCTGTCTGATGTGTGTGTGTGTGTGTGTGTGTGTGCGCGCGCGCGCATGTGCGTGTCTATGTGTCTGTGTCTGTCTGTCTGTTTGTCTATGTGTACATATGGGTGTGCCAGTACTAGATCTTAAACTCAGGGTCTTGTGCTCTCTTTTTGGCTTTTTCAATTCAAGGCTGGTATTCTACCAATTGATCCACAGTTCCACTTCTGGCTTTTTGGTGGTTAATTGGAAATAAGGGTCTTATGGACTTTTCTACTCAGACTGACATAACCACGATCCTCAGAGCTCAGCTTCTTAAGTAGCTAGGATTGCAGGCATAAGCCACAGGCATCCCTTTCTGGCTGACATCTTGATTACATGTGCACGAGAAACTCTGAGCCAGAACCATCCAGTTACCTCCATCCACAGATTCCTGATTGTTAAAAAATCTGAGATGATAAGTATAATGTTTCTAAAGCCACATTATATTGGACTAATTTGTAATGAAGCAATCAATAACTTAAGTACTTAGAGTGGTGCTTGCTATAGGCAAATGATCCATAAATGTTAGCCATCACAGCAATTCCCATTTCACAGATGAGAAGAGAAAGTCTCTATGAAACTAATCAAAGTTAGCTGCCACAAGAGGTAGAGCAGGATTAGAACCCAGGTATAGAAGTTTCACTCCAAAATTCCCATCTGCTGAAGCTATGGCCCATTGCCACAAGTACCTGATGGCTGCCCCCGATTGGTCTTGTCTCTTGGGACATTGATGGTGACTGGCTGATAGACCTTTACCAAGTCTTTCAGCTTCAGGTCTTGGGCTGTCAAGGAATAGTTGTTAGCAATGGAGTCGCTGGGTCCACGGTGTTGGTCTTGTTCTTTGAAGGGTACAGCCAGGGTCCATGATGTCCGTTGCATCAAGGGTGGATAAAAGCTGTGTGACATGACAGTCTACAAGGGAAGATATGTAGAGTATGAGAACAGGATTAAAGGCTCTGCTATCATTCCAGTGGAGCTGTCTGCAGCTTATGCTGCATTTTACTTTCTAACTCTCAGTGGGAATACTTTCTGTATGGATATCAATAATACATGTCTGACTACTGTAATAAGATTTCCAATGCCAGCCAAATGCCAGTGACTCGCGCTCATAATCCTAGCCACTCACAAGGCTGATCTGAGAATTAATAGTTTAGAGCCATCCTGAGCAGACAGAGTTTCTCAGGAAACTCTTATTTTCAATTAACTTGCAAAAAACTGGCAGTGGAGACATGGTTCAAGTGGTAGAATGCCAGTTGTGCATCAGGAAGATTGCCAAGAGAAACATCTGGCATTCAACAACAGCTTTGTGAGGAAGGTAATTTCTATCTCCTGCCCTTACTCCTTATGCCCATACTTCCAAGGGATGTCAGTACCCTCATTTTATCAGTGAGGGTGTCAATAACACAGCAGGTCAATGGGAAGCCAGATCCAAACTCACCTTTGCACAGGTATACAGCTCTTTCTCTCACACTACAGCCTTTTCCAGTAGGGATTGGGGAGGATGATCAAAATCACTAATCCCACTTATCAAATCTGTGCTCTCACAGCACCTGTTGGGGACCTAAGAGGCAGGATGTGTTTCTCCCTTTGTCATCCTCACTAGAGATGCTGGTAGCCAGGGGAACTTACCTGATAGAGTTCAGATGGCTCCTCATTTACAGACTGGGGCAGAGGGGGCAGCTCTGGCCGCCGCTGAGAGTGGCTCATGTGATGTATAGAGTCACTTTTGGAGATCTGTAGGAAATGGGAACAAAGCCATACTTAATAGGAGAAGATTCCAAGGCCTCTGAAGCTAGTTAGAACTAAAGAATTCCCCAGGAAACATTTTGGGTATCGACTTCTGCTTGCAAAACATCCTTTTCACCTCCAGCCATCACGGTTCATTTTTCTATATTTAATTTTTACATTGTTATTATAAAGGTGAGATACAGAGGGGATACAGTTATGTAAGTCAGGTACAGGGTACATTTCTTTTTGATCAGTGTCACCCCTTCCCTTGCTCTCTCCCCGTTTTTCCCTCCAGTTCCCATAGTGTCCAGTGAGTACCATTGCTGCATTTGTTCACCTTTTGTCCATCCATTTCTGTGTCTCCCCTTACACTCCCAAAGACAGATAAACAAACAAGACAAAAACAAAAACAACAAAAAAGAAAAAACCTCTTGTTTTTATTTCTTTGAGTTCATTTCGATAAATAGTATTGTTTTTTATGATCAAATGTTTCATTTTTAAATCTTCAATCTGTCTCTTCTTCAGGGTCTCTTCCTTGGGCTTCTTTTCAGTAAGTCAATTTGGATATCCTCCTACCTTTCAGGAAGAGCCCAAATTCTGAGGATGTGCCCAGCTACCCTGCCCTGAGATGCCTCTTGCATTTCATAAATGCAAAGTTCCAAATAGAAGCTTTCTCAGGTAGTGACACTGCATCTTATGTGTGATTCACAAACATATCAAACATATGCTTCCTTTAAAGAGCATCAGTGTCTGAGTACACAATTCCATCTGTGAGCCTCAGGTAGGGGTGAATTTGTCTCTGCCACAGCCATTCTCATTCCCAAGTGCTTTACCATCACTCTAAGCAAAGCTAAAAGTGTAATGTCAAATATTATCACTGTGTGTGCGCACATGCATGCTAGTACTGGGCTTGAACTCAAGACTTCCTAATGTTGCTTGGTTTCTTACTCAAGTCAGGTGCTCTACCATTGAGTCACTTCTGGCTTCACTTCTAGCTTTTTGCTGGTTAACTGGCAGTAAGAATTTCATGGACTTTCCTGCCCAGGCTGGCAGGAATCCTCAGATCTCAGCCTCCTGAGTAACTAGGATTACAAGTCCATTGTAATCCTTAAACACCATTCTGCACCCACATGCATTGGAAAGTAAATGAAAACTTGTGAACTAGAATGTACATAGAGCTTGGGATATTAAAAATCATGGAATGAAACCTGGCACTTGTAACTTACACCTGTAATCTTAGCTACTCAGGAGACTAAGATCTGAGGATGGGGATCTATAGCCAGCCTGAGCAGGGAAGTCTGTGAGACTCTCATTTCCAATTAATCACCAAAAAGCCAGACGTGGAACTGTGGCTCAAGTGGGAGAGCACTAGCCTTGAACATAAGAGCACCCCTGCTCTGAGTTCAAGCTCCCGGACTGACACTCATAAAAATAATAATAATGGAATGGAATCACTTGATCTCATGGCCTAATTCAGTGGTTTTCAAAAAGAAAATGTGATGTATGAGAGCCACCAATGGAACTCTATTCACAGTAGGAACACTTCAGCTCTGCCTCAGAGAACCACTGGAATTGTTGATTTTATCTTACAGAACTTGCTATGCTGATTTAAATCACTGTCTTTTCACTCTTGACTTCAATCTCAAGTATCTGAGAATTGACCAATCATCTCTAAGAGTTTCCACTTCTACTCCTAAAGTTAATACCAGATCTGTACTGATGAGGTGAAAAGAACAGAAAAATCCCATCATGAACCCGAAAAGAACATAGTCATCCAAAGCAGGTACTATACCATCCAAGGAAGATTTTAGCACAGTACATTCAGGAATATGGAGCCATTCATTACTTCTTTCAGGATTCCAGAAATTGAGACATATATTGTTTGGTGGGCTAGGACGGTTTATATTGTGTCTTTAAGCAAGAAAACAGTTTTGGGGAAATCTTTCTTTTAGCCTAACTTTTAAATCTGCTTCAAATAAAAATTTTCATTTAGAGAGCAGAAGCCAGGCACTAGTAGTTCATGTCTGTAAATTCTAAGGATTGACATTTGAAGCCAGCCCAGACAGTATAGCTGTGAGATTCTTATCTCCAATTAGCCAGTAACAAACTGGAAGGAGAGCTGTGAATCAAGTGATGGAGGAAAAAAAAAGCAGACCTCAAATTTGCAATTCTCCTGCCTCTTCTCCCAAGTAGCTAGGATTACAGGGTTGTTCCACACAGCTTGTCCAAGGAGGAAGTCAACATTATTTGGGAGGTGTCATGTCATTCATTTTTCTGCTTTGTTTTGGGTAAACCTGATTTCAGCCCTGAGACCATTTGAGCAAGTTACTCCTTCCACTAAAAGAAAAGGAATCTAGCTCTGGTGGGCATTACTCGCTTTACTCTGATTTTGGTTCATGTTGAACAATATGGCTGATCACAGATCCTGGCTCCAGGCATGACACACAGCTATAACCAGTCAGATTTCCCTATCTTCCTTGACACAATGATTGGCTCAGGGATGTCATGTAACCCAAGCATGGTTGACCAGTGTATTTCTTGACACTTTTGCTAGAGCTCTAGAGAAAGGGGCATTCTCTTTCTATTGGGAAAGAGAATGAAAATGTCCTGTGAAGATGTTCATGTCATTTCTGTCTTATGTGGGAAAAGTATGCCTTAGAATAAGCCAACACAGAAGGAAGTGGACACCATAAAAGGAGAGACAGAAATGTGATCAACAGGAATCCTGAATCTAAGGTGGATTTCTTGGTTACTTCGGCCCATAGATTCTTTGAGATTTGAGGCAGACTGAATAATTATATTTATGTCCAGCCATACTGAGAAATAGACATCTGACAGAATCAGAGACAGCTGAGTCGACAAGAGAGTACTCAGGATAAAGAACAGACCACTACATTCTAAAACTGACAGACAGGTCTTCTGGAGATTATGAAGAAAACAAACCATAGGCAGTTTGCAAAGCACAATAAAGAGCAACAGAACATTTGCATAAACAAATTTAACTTTGAGCTAGCTCACAGACATAGACTAAGAGTTATACACAAAGGTCTATTAATATCCCGAGAGCAGAAAACATTTCATTCCAAGAAACAAGAACGTATGAGACACAAGATCAGCAGAACCAGAAATTAATTACAGAACAGATTTTTCTTGTTCCTACTTGACTAAGAATTATCAGGGTTACCTTGGAAGGGAAGTTCTGGAGATTCCTAGTCTTAAGTCTTATTTTTACACAAAAATGATTTGTTAAAAATATTAATGCTTGCCGTGGCTCACACCCATAATCCTAGATTTTCAGGAGACTGAGATCTGAGCATCTTGGTTTGAAACCAACCCTGGTAGGAAAGTCTGTGAGATTCTTATCTCTAGTTAACTAGCTAAAAAAGCCAAACATAGAGCTGCAGCACAAGTGCCAGAGGAGCAGCCTTGAGCAAAAGAGCTAAGGGACAGCATTCAGACCCTGAGTTCAAGCCCCAGTACCAGCACGCATGCACACACACACACACACACACACACACACACACACACACACACACACACACACACGTAATAATAGGTATTAATACTTAAATGTCTTCTTTGGGAAATTGTAGGAAGTTTTCATTTCAAACCATGGACTTGGATATTATAACAAATCTACTTCAATTTTATAAAGTTTCCATTTAAAATGCTCCTCTGGGTATTTAAGTGACAACCAAGTAGATCTTGGTTTTTATGATTAAGATCCTGGTCCCTGGATTGGGTGTTTCTTTACTTCCGATTATATATAATGTCTTTCTTAGAGGCAGTTCCCAAACCCTCTTCTAAGGACTTCCTATAACAGAATCATTTGGATCTTAATTAAAAATAAAGACTTGAGAGAAGTATCTAAATCTTCTGAGTCAGATTCTTCAAGGAGACTTGCTCCTGTAATCTTAGCTAGTTGGAAGTTGGAGATTGGGAGGATTAAATTCCAGGTCAGCTGAGGCAGAAGGTTCATAAGACTTTATCTCAATCAATAAAAAGCTGAGCATATGGGACACATTTGACATCCCAGCTGTCCAGCAAGCATAAGTCGGAGAATTGCAGTCTGGGGTTATGACCAGGATAAGATCTCACATTTATGTCCACTTGAGATCCTGTTGGGGAAAATAATTTAAAAGGCCAGAAATGTAGCTCAATTGGTAGAGTACCTGTTTTCCCAGACTACTCTGATGCACACAGAAATGAAAACTGTTGATTGGACTATACAGTTTTGGAAAGGAAGGAAAAGCAGCCATAGGTATCTACTTTCTACATTTCTATAGTGAATCTTGAATGTATCCAAAAGTCTAATTCTAGAAATCATATATCAAAGCACACATCTTAAAAATGAAATTTACATACTTGATACATCAAAGGGATCGAATATGGCTATTGATCTATGGTGAATCCCTCTTCCCCCCACACACACTCTCAAAATTCACTACATGTGAAAATTTACAGATGAAAAAGGAAATATGTCTTAAAATTCACACCTACCTTCTGGGAAGAACCATCCATTTTGTCCCAATTGCCTACTCTAATTGTACCTATTTTAAAAAAAATGATTAAAGAGCTCTTAGTTTCTTCAGGGATATGTTTCTCCTCTCCAGCTGCTCTGAAATCCACAATCCTTACAGCATAATGGAGATGACACTGACAATGAAACTTTCTAGATGCCCTGGAAGTTCTATTTCATAGATCTGTCTCTCTGAGGTCATAGACTTCAGTCTCCTGAGTTCCCTGGTAGAAAAGAAAAGGAAGGAAAGCTAGAGGATGAAAAGGCACCATTGGGGCCCTGCTGGGCTTTTGGCTCTGTTTCTCACTCCTTGTCATGGTCACTGTGTGTTTTCCTTGGGCAGGTCTTCTCTTGGATCTTCTTGGAACATAATGATGTCTCTGTAGAGGAGAAAACTGAAGCAGAATTGTGTGTTAATATAGAGAAGTGGGGAGATCTAGTCTAAAAAATACTCTTGGTAGCCTGAACGTGTCTCTGAGCAGTTTTAACGTGGTTCTAGAGTCAGTAAGCAGAAACCTGCGTCTGTTGCTAAGGAAAGAGAGTCTGTGCTATGCCTCATCTAGCCTCATTTCCGGCTGGCTTCCTTTATTGCAGGCTCAGCTGGGCAGAAGGGAGTGTTGACAGAGGGAGGGCAGAAATAGTGCTTAGCAATGGCCCGGAAATGCAGAGGCCAGTGGCAGTAAGTGGCCACATATTTGGACAGGTATAGAAGCATAATCTTGTGGTTATGCTCTTGGAGTCTAGGGTGGAACAGATCTGGCTTACATCCTGCTTTCCTGTTAATTAGCAGCAGACACCCAATGTTCCCTTGGGATTTTCCCAGGTTTGTTTTTGTTTTCTGGGGATTGTTGCTGTTGTTTTGATGATACAGGAGCTTGAACTCAGGGCTTCACAAGCTCATTTGCCTTTCTCTGCCATTTGAGCCATGTCTCCAGTTCCAGATTTTTGCTGGTTAATTGGAGATGCATATCTTGGATTTGTATTGTTCAGACTAGCTCCAAACCATGATCCTCTGACCTTAGCTTCCTGAGTAGCTAAGATTACAGGCAAGAATCACCAGTGCCCACTACTTTCCCAGTTTTAACATTCTTAAATCCTGTGTCCTGGGAATCCTTTCAGTCCTCAGCAAATTGGGACAGCATTGCCATTCAATTTAATAGGCCTTCTATAAATAATATAAACACAAAATGCAGCAGTGCATGTGCATTAAGCTGCTAAGTCCAGTGATCTTTCCAGGAGGTACCTCAAGATATCAATGCTGGGGCTGGGAATGTGGCTTAGTGGTAGAATGTTTGCCTAGCATGCACAAAGCCCTGGGTTCAATTCCTCAGCACCATATAAACAGAAAAAGCTGTAAGTGGTGCTCCAGTGGGAGAGTGCTAGCTTTGAACAAAAAGAAGCCCAGGGAAAGTGCTCAAGCCCTGAGCGCAAGCCCCAGAACTGGCAAAAACAAACAAAAAAGACACCAATGTTTCCAAGGTCATTTGATGATCACTAGACAGCACTCTGAACTTCCATTTCTCCTTTATCCCACTCCCCTCTCAGGCTGGACCTGAGCTGCCTTCTCTCTGCTTATATTTTCTTTCACAAAGTAGGTGCAATTGGCTATGAGTTACACATACGGAGTTTCTACCACCTACGGGTAAACAATATTTAAGAATAAAAGACCAGGGCTGGGAAGGTGGCTCAGTGGTAGAGCGCTTGCCTTGCATGCTTGAGGCCCTGGGTTCAATTCCTCAGCACCACATAAGCAAAAAAGAAAAAAGCCGGAAGTGGTGCTGTGACTCAAGTGGTAGAGCGCTAGCCTTGAGCTGAAGAGCTGAGGGATAGTGCCCAGACCCAGAGTTCAGGGCCCACGACCGGACCCCAAAATAAAAAAAAATTTACATGGCATGTGATATATAATCTAGAGATGAGTTAAAGTATGTGGGGAAATTATATGCAAAAACATGCTATTTTATATAAGGGACTAGAGCACCCAAGAATTTGGGTATCTGTGGGATTCCTAAAGTAAATTCCCTATAGAATTGATTCAGGGGCAATTGCATACAGTTCCAAATTTATCGAAAAAATGAGTCAGGGGAAGGGTCTGAGACTTTGGTTAAGAAAGAAATGAGGTTATGACCAGGCATTCAGTACTGGGTGTGAGATCATATGTCCCTCCCCCTCAAAAAAACCACATAGGCTCTAATCCAAAGAAATAATTAGAAATGAATGGTTCCGTGTTAATGAGCCCTATGGCCTTGGTTGTGAGTAGAAGACATGGCTTTATCTTAAATTTAGTGTTCTTCAAAGATTAAGCTGTAAGCCAGAGGGCTTACATGCCTGTCATTGTAGCTACTCAGGAGGCTAAGATCTGAGGATCAAAGCCAGCATGGGCAGGCTAATTCATGAGACTCTCATCTCCAATTAACCACCGAAAACTCAAGGGGTAGAGTGCCAGCCTTGAGAAAGCTAAGGGACAGTCAGTGCCCAGGCACTGAGTTCAACCCCAATATTGGCACAATAAGAAAAACAAATAAACATAAAATTATCAAAACCATTAATAGCTTCTATTTATTGAACATATACCAATTGAACATCATCTCCCCAAATTTCAACAACCCAGAAGATAAATATTATTCTCTCTCTCTCTCTTTTTATTTTTTTTTGTTGGTCATGAGGCTTGAACTCTAGGCCTGGGTGCTCTCCCTTCAGCTCAAGGCAAGCACTCTACCACTTGAGCCACAGCACCATTTCCGGTTTTTGGTGGTTAATTTAAGAGTCTCGCGGCCTTTCATGCTCAGGCTGGCTTTGAACCGTGATCCTCCTCTTGAGTCTCTTATTTTTTTATAGTTGAAGAAACAGACATGAAACTAATTAACCTTCCCACAGTTACCCAGCTATGTCAACAGCAAAGTTGGAACCATAACCAGGTTTAAAGAAGAACCATAACCAGGTTCAAGTCCATGGCTTTAACCCAAACCAGATCAAGTCTGAAGAAAGATTAAACACTTGCCAAAGAGAACGAAAGCAGTATTCCCTCAGGCCATCTCTCAGTGCTAGAATTATTGGCTGTCTTCTCTTTGTACTGAGTAATTCCTAAAAGCAGGTGCGGAGCCTCAAGATCCTTAGCCACTTAAATTCTAAGTGTTCAAGGTTGCTAGGTAAAACAGAGGATTTGAGTGAAGTCAGAATTTCATGTAAACAATTTTTCAAGAAAAATAATTTTTTTTCTTTTGGTCGGTCGTGGGGCTTGAACTCTAGGTTGGCGCTGTCCCGGCACTCTTCAGCTCAAGGTGAGCGCTCTACTGCTTGCGCCACAATGCCACTTCCAGTTTCCTAGTGGTTTATTGGAGATAAGAGTCTCACGGACTTTCCTGCCCAGGCTGGCTTTGAACAGCAATCCTCGATCTCAGTCTCTTGAGTAGCTAGGATTACAGGCATGAGCTACCAGCGCCCGGCTAAGAAAAATAAAATTTTTAGTATGTCTCATTCCATATTTGGAACACAGTTATACCAAAAAAAGTTATCTGTTATCTACCCAAAAGTCAGTGTATTACACTGGTAACCTGAGCAAGATGGGTATTTGTCTTCTATGCTATTAAGAGTTTCTAAATTTGTTTCTGGGAGAATGTTCACAAAAGTCTTATTCAGAGCCAAGTGTATCTGACAGATATTGTCTGAAGCCTGAAATAATTGCTTAACCAGAGCAAGACTCTTTATCCATTGAAGCTGTTGTAACAAAGGACCACAGGCTATGCAGGTTTTACACAACAGAAACGTGCTTCTCACAGTTCTGGAGGATGAAAATCTCAGATTAGGGTGCCAGCATGATTGAGTCCTAGTGAGGATCCCTTTTCTGATTAAATATTGCCAATTTCTTATTTAAAAAGGTAAGAGATCTTTCAGGGTGTCCCTTGACAGAAAAAGATAAGAGAACTCTCTGGGGTCCCTTCCATAAGGATGTTAATTCCACTCATAAGGGCATCACCTTCATCACTGTGTGAATTACTTTTGTATAGCTTGGACAAAATACCAGACATTATCAAGTTAAAGGAGGTATGATGTACCTTGCTCATGGTTTTATTTTTATTTGGGGGGGGGGTGGTCCGGTCCTGAGGCCTGAACTCTGAGCCTGGGCGCTGGCCCTCAGCTCTCAGCTCAAGGCTAGCCCTCTACCACTTGAACCACAGCACCACTTCCGGCTTTTTTCTTTTTGCTTATGTGGTGCTGAGGAATCGAACCCAGGGCCTCATGCATGCAAGGCAAGCGCTCTACCACTGAGCCACCTTCCCAGCCCTTGCTCATGGCTTTAGAAGGCTCAAGTCCATGACTACTTGGCTCCAATGTCTTTAACCAGACCATCATGGCAGTAGGAGCCTATGGAAGAAGAAGCTGCTCCCCTTATGGTGGACAGGAAGCAAAGCATAAGGACTCGAGACCAGGAACAACCTTCAAAACCACACCCCCCCAGTGACCCACTTCTTCCAATTAGACCCTACCTCCTAAAGTTTCCAGCATCTCCCAAAATAAAGCTACCAACAGGTGACCCCGCCAGCATTCAACACATGAGCCCGTGGGAAATATTCCATATTCAAACTATAACAATAACTAATCACTTCCCCAAAGCCCCTAACTTAATACCAATACATTAGGGGTTCAGGGAGCCAAATCTGGATGCTATGAGACATGCTAGATCCCCAGCATGATATGCTAGAGGAGGTAGCCAACATACAAGGAGAAGCAAACCTGGTTGGCCTTACAAAAATGTCACAGTGACAGGAATCAGAGGATATACCAAGAAGCCTGGAGATAGAGTCCTTAAATATATATCCCAGGAGAAGCCTTTCTTTTTCTTCTGTCAGTTGTGGGGCTTGAACTCAGGGCCTGGATGCTTTCCCTGAGCTTTTTTGCTCAAAGCTAGAGTGTTTGATACCACTTTGAGTCACAGTGCTACTTAAGGTTTTCTGGTGGTTAATTGAAGATAACAGTCTCATGAACTTTCCTACCCGAGCTAGCTTTGAACTATGATCCTCAGATCTCAGCCTCCTGAGTAGCTAGGATTACAGGCATGAGCTACTGGAAGCCTTTCTAAACAGTATCCACACAGGGACAGTTCTCTAAGGAAAAGTCACAGTAATCTAAGGAAAACAAACTAAGAAACCTACCTTTTCCTGAGTAGGAAACCTAGTCATACAGTGTGCAGGGAGACTTTGAACTTTAAGGATTTGTGGACATTCATCTATGTCTGCTTATTGCCTCCATTATTGTATCATTTCTGCTGCTGTTGCAGTGGTAAAGACAGGATCCCCTGAATTCTTGCTATTATCATCAGCATTCCTAAACTTACTTTTTAAATTTTTTGTGTCAGTCCCGGGGCTTGAACTCAGGGTTTGGACACTGTTCCTGAGATTTTGTGCTCTACCACTTGAGCCACAGCTCCACCAATGCCTGGTTCTAAGCTTTTTCATCATAAGTCTGGTTACTTCTAGAAATCTACGGTGGCAGAATAATAACTTCCAATATTTTTGAGCCTTTACCATGTGTCTGATAGGTGTTAAACTCTTCAAAGTCATCTCCAGTCCTCATTATAACCATGACTTCTCTATTTACCTAAAGTTAATCTCCAAATTGCTGGGGACACAGGCCACAGAGAAGAGGAAGTGAACATGGATAGGAAAAAAACTATTAGTCAACTATTATTCAGTAGCAGACCAACAGGTCCTTCTCCTTGTTTTATGGATGAAAACACAGCTCAGAAGCCCTAGCTCTAGTGGCTAATGTCTGTAACCCTAGCTACTCAGGAAGCTAAAAGTTGAGGATTGGAGTTTGATGCTATCCCAGACTTAATCAGCAAAATTCTGAAGTGAAGGTACGGCTCCAGCCTTAGAGGAAAAATCCAAGCAAGAGGAGAGAGAGAGAGAGAGAGAGAGAGAGAGAGAGAGAGAGAGAGAGACTAACCAAGTTCAAGTTCACACAGTAAAGAGTCAGATCTGGGACATGAGCCCAAGGCTAATGGGCAGCAACCCACGGTTTTTCCCAATCTGTTCACTGGCTAGGGTGAGTGCGGGGTGAAGGTTTTAGTACCAGTGGGCAGATGCCAGGAATTCTGCTAACCATTCCACCCAGCACAGGCTAGCACAGACAGACTGGATCCGTGCACAGCACGGGTAGTGCAGCTCTTGAGTCACGGTGTGCCTGGGGCCTGGATTTGGGCTTCTGCGCCGGCTGGGCTCGTGGGAACCCAGAGACTTGGGTTTATCTACCTGGTCTCTCCAGCTCTCACCAGCAAGCTGGAGGTGAACGAATCTAATCTATATCCGCGCATCTCAACCGTACCCACATTTACAAGGTGCCCCCCCCCCCAGTGTGAGTCCCAAACGCCACAGACGTTTCCAGAAGTGATGATTGGGGGCATTTAGGCCCTTAGCCTCTTCAGTCTGTCCACTTGTCTCACAGGCGGCCCCCAGTCTTTCACTCCAAGCCGTGGCTGCAGGAAAGGAGCGGGTCTTGGGAATGCTGGGGTGACGCACGCTCTTCCTGAGGGGAGCAGCCGCCTCAAGGCTTCCGGGCGGGTCCCCCAGCCGCGAGCGAAGGGCGGGGCCCGGTCCAGGGGCGGGGCCGAGGCACGAGCGGGGCGGAGCCTCGCTGAGGGCCGAGGGAGGGGAGGGGCGGAGGGGCGGGGCCTGGTGGGGCGGAGGGCGGGGCCTGGTGGGGCTGGGGCGGGGCTTCTGCGGGGGCTGGGGAAGGCGGCTCCGTCTCCCCGCGCTCCTGGCGCGTTGTCTGTCTCCTTCTGCATCCTCCCCGCACTCCGCGGGCTGAAGCGCCACCGCCGACCGACTGTCACTTCCGCCCCACCAGCACCTGGTGAGCGCCCCGTGCTTTGATGTGGGTTGGGGTGGTGAGGGAGCCCGGGGTACCCCGGCTGGTTGGATCCCGCTGGGCCCGCGCCGAGAGTGAAGTCGGGTGTCGCCGGCGTCCCGCGCCACTCTGGCAGAAGCGGATCCACCCCGTCCTCCGAAACACACAGCGCGCCACCTCCAACACACCTGCCCTGACTGTGGTCAGGGCTGCCAGCCCCGCCCTGCGCTCCAGGTCCGCGCTCCGGGGGAACGCGGTGGCTGGAGGTGGGGTCCCCCCCGGAGCTCACCCCGGAGCACGCCCGGGCCCGCAGCCGCTCGGGTCTGCCCGGCCTTCCCCCCCTCCCCACGGCAGGGGAGCGGGAACGGCGGAAGGGGGGCTCGGGCCCTCTCCACCTGCATCGCGCGCCCCCTTTCCTCCCGAGATCCCCGGCCCGTGAAGAGTGAAAGCCCGAGCCCGTCCTGGTGGGGAGAGGGGGCGGCGGGAGAGCAGCTTGGGGCGCCCCGAAGTTCCCTGCCCCCCCCCAGCTGGTGTTATGTTCACTCCCCTACCGCCCCCCTGGCTGGAACGTTGGGGTGGCCGTTTGCTCGCGGCGCCCTGGAGGAGCTGGGGGGCGGGTAGGGTGATTTGCAGCCTTGGAAGGGGCGGAGACCTGGCCCCTCTCACACTTCCCCAACCAGTCAAAGAACTTGTCCGGCCAAAGGAAGCCTTGCCAGCAGATCCGAGCTTGTCTCTGCCTGCTGGCAGTGACGAGATTCGGGGAGCTGAGCGCTGGGAACGTCCCAAAGTCAAGATCTAGGCCGGCGGCAGCTGTAAAAACGGAATAGAGAGTGGAGAGATCCGTATTTCCCTGGCCAAAGGGAGAGACTCTCTCGCTGGGGCTGTGTTTAAAGTGTGCTTTAATTTGCACACCCTGTCGGTGTTCCTGCTTAGATTTCTCCCTTGCCACATAACTAGCATATGGGAAATGGATTCAATATGTTAAGTAAAGTGACGGTCTCTCAGTTCACGTTGACCACGGTGACAGAATCTATTTGGCACTTGTACTCTGGGTCGGGAAATTATAAGGCAGAAATTGAAAAGAGATTTTTGTGTCCAGCCAGACAATTGTTATATGAAATGTCAAACAAGAATGATAGTCTTCTTTGAAACCTCAGCCAGAGTTAAAACTATCTGATTTAGTCCATTGCCTTTATAAAAAAAATAAATAAATAAAATTATGTCTGGTTGGGACAGTAAATTCCAAGCTGTTGGTTTCATTATTCAAAGTATACTTGTGGCAAGGTTTGTTCTTGAGGCAGGCTCTTACCCACATGTAAAGGAGAATGATTTATATCATGATGTGATAGAGGGCCAAGGAGGAAAAAGGAAGAAAAAAATAATCCAAAGTCGCTATTACACACACACACAAAAGCTTGGGGGTGGAGCAGTGAGATTTTAAGTAGCATATTCTGTCTTACTGATTTTTGTGACACTAGGAATTGAACTTGGGACCTAAAGCTTGTTAGGCACGTGCTCTACAACTGAGCTAACCCCACTAGCTACTTTTTGTATATTCTTTTTTTGGGGGGGAGGGGGTCTAGTCGTGGGGCCTGAGCGCTGTCCCTCAGCTTTTCAGCTCAAGGCTAGCGCTCTACCACTTGAGCCACAGCACCACTTCCGGCTTTTTTCTTTTTGCTTATGTGGTGCTGAGGAATCGAACCCAGGGCCTCATGCATGCAAGGCAAGCGCTCTACCACTGAGCCACCTTCCCAGCCCTTTTTTGTATATTCTTTACAGCATTTTGTCAGGCTAAAAAAATAAACCTGAGCTTTCAGAGACAATATGATCCTTTATTTCTAGCTCTTTTAACATGCAATATACACAAATACATAGATATCACAGTAGAATATTTATAATCTTTTTTAAACTTATGGACATGGCTGGGCATGTGACTTAGTGATAGAGTGCTTACCTAGCATGCATGAAGCCCTGGGTTCAATTCCTCAGTGCCACATAAACAGAAAAAAAAAAAAGCAACGTATGAACATCTTTTAATGTCACTTAGTAAATAACCATGGTATCATTTTAATGAATGTGAGTTTATCGTGTGTGTGTGTGTGTGTGTGTGTGTGTGTGTGTGTGTGTGTGTCCCCTGGTATTGGTACTTGAACTCAGGGCCTCACACTCTTGTTTAACTTTTTTGCTCAGGCTATTGCAGTGCCACTTGAGCTACACACTCTTTATTGCTTTTTGCCGGTTGATTGGAGATCACTCAGATATGTCTGCCTGGACTGGTTTCCAACTGGGATCCTTAGATTTCAGCATTCTGAGTAGCTAGAATTATAGGTCTGAGGGCTGGGAAGGTGGCTCAGTGGTAGAGCACTTGCCTTGCATGCATGAGGCCCTGGGTTTGATTCCTCAGCACCACATAAGAAAAAAGCCAGAAGTGGCGCTGTGGCTCAAGTGGTAGAGCGCTAGCCTTGAGCTGAAGAGCTGAGGGACAGCGCCCAGGCCCAGAGTTCAGGCCCCACAATTGGACCCCCAAAAAAAGAAAAAGAATTATACGTCTGAGCCACTGGCACATGGCAGAATTTGTCACTGTTAGCTCATTTCTCACTAATTTTTTGCAAGTCATTATATAATCTATACAGGGATTCAGTGTACATCTATATGGCAATATTCCTATTTGACCTTTTTCTTTGGGCTCTTAGAAAATAAGTTGTTAAAAGTCTATGCAATTTGAAATTTTGATAAGAATTGCCAAGCTCTCCTCCATTTGTAAGCTCATCATGAGTGCTTAAGGGAAGCTGTTGTTGAATTTAGTGGATGAAGATTACTCATGATTTAACCAATATTTCTTCCAGGGACAGCAAAGAGCTAGGATGACATGAGAGACTGGACTGTGTACCACCCAAGAGACATTCTTAGTAGGAAAACTAATCCGCAGAGAGACTGAAGTGACTTTCAAGATGGCCAAAGAGGAACCCCCAAGTACTTCTAGGGATTTACAGGAGCTGCAGAGGAAGCTGTCTTTGCTGATAAAGTCCTTCCAAAATAACTCAAAGGTCAGTTTCGAATCAAACTATATAATCAGAAATCCCAAATTAACATTAGTTAATAGCTAGAAATTAGTTAATAGATAGAAAATGATTTCTTTCTCAAGTAGAAGAAATTTGGGGTAAAGTCGGGCATCTTTCTTGCCACATCTAAGTTGTGACCTTCAGTCTCATTGTTCCAATGTGACTAGCAGAGCATCAGTATTCCAGGCATAGTGTGAGAGAAATTGGAATGGGGAGGGTAGATTTTCAAGCCACCTCCAATTTAAGCAGACTTCTTGAAGTCACTTTCAGTTTTTTGCATAGGCTAAAATTTGATTGGATGCCACCCCAAGTGGCAGATGTACCTCTTTATCTGGATTTATGGGAACTACTCCATACCTCAGATTCAGTCCTTTTCTTTTCCTTTTGTTGTTGTCGTTTGTGTTTTTGTGTTTGGGTCATGGGGCTTGAAGTCAGGGCCTGGGCACTCTAAGCTTTGTTACTCACAGCTAGTACTCTACTACTTGAGCCACATTTCCACTTCAACTTTTTGGTGATTAATTAGGAATAAGAATCTCAGGAATGTTCCTGCCCTGACTGGCTTTCAACTTGAATCCTCAGATCTCAGTCTCCAGGGTAGCTAGGATTATAAGTATACCTACCAGTACCTGGCATCCCTTTTTCTTATTTTGATGTTTATTTTGGCTTATCTGTTACCCTGAAAATAAGTAATCAAAGCATACTTTAAAAAGACTCAAATCCAGTATTCCACTACAAATCCAACATCTAATAGAAATATATAGTGAGTTATGAGACTCTCATCTCCTCCACTTGACCATTAAAACGTCAGAAGTGGAGCTGTGGTTCAAGTAGTAGAGCTCTGACCTTGAATGACAAAGTTAAGGGACAGCACCCAGGCCCTGAGTTTATGCCTCAAGACCAGCACAAATCATCACTACAAACCCCAAATTTGCAAACATAAAACTGTTCTTCTCAAGAGAAATACAGAATTTGGACCTTCAAATCTCTAATCACATTTTGTCAACCGGTTAGCCCATAACTTATTTCTTTGGTTTTTATTCTTTGCTAGTACTGGGGCTTGAACTCAGAGTCTGGGTGCTATCTCTTAGCTTTTTTGCTCAAGGCTTGAGCCACAACTCCACTTTGGGCTTTTTACTGATTAATTCGAGATCGGAGTCTGGGTGCTGTCCCTTAGCTTTTTTTTTTTTTTTTTTTTTGCTCAAGATTGGTGCTCTATAACCACTTGAGCTCTACTCATAGACTTTCCTGCTGGGGCTAGCTTCAAACCACATCATATATCAGCCTCTTGAGTAGCTGTGATTATAGATGTGAGCTACCAGCGTCCAGCCTGCATGTTTAATGTGTATTTTTAAAGGTATTTTATTTGAAGTATACTATTGATTACTAACATTGAACTTAGTTAGCACTGTAAATCATGTCTTGAACAAACAACCATTTTCTTACACATATATTTGTTCCATAATTCACATTCTGGTACTCAGGAACACTAGACAACACTTCAGTAAAGTACTTGGGTCATTTTAAATGATGAGATCACCAACCAGAAGAACAATAATGTGAAAAGTGTTGCACATAGTAACCATGAGGTTATACTTCGGGTCTTGAGTGTCCTCCAAAGGCCCGTTTAACCTATAGGAAATAAGGCCGAGTAGGAGAGGTTTTTGAAATACTTCGAAGGGTACTTTTGACACCCTAGCCCCTCTACGTTTTTTTCTCTCTCTTTTATATTTGTGTGCTGGTCATGGGGCTTGAACTCAGAACCTGGACGCTGTCCCTGAACTTTTTTTGCTCAAGGCTAGTGCTCTACCACTTAAGCCACAGCTCCACTTCTAGCTATTTCTCAGTAGTTTGTCATGGCCTATCCTGCCTGGGCTGGCTTTGAACCATGATCCTTAGGTCTCAGCCTCCTGAGTAGCTAGGATGAAAGGCTTGAGCCACCTGTGCCTGGCAAAGCCTGGGCTTTTTTGTTCAAGACTAGCATTGTACCTCTGAGCCACAGTCCACTTCCAGCTTTTCTTTTGGTAGTTAGTTGGAGATCAGAGTCTCATAGACTTTCCTGCCTGGAATGGCTTTGAACAGTAATCCTCAGATCTCAGCCTCCTGAGTAGGATTACAGTTGTGAGCCACCAGTGCCCCGCTTCTTCCTAGCTTCCTGGACATGAATGAGCTGTTATGTTCCACCACACATTTCTGCCAAGCTGTGCTGTGTCAACATTGGTTGAGGGCTAGAACATTGGGCTAGAACCTCCAACCTGTGAACTAAATACCTTTTCTTTTGTAAGTAGATTATCTCTTGTATTTGTATTAGTATCAGAAAGCTATCTATCTTAACACCATAGTCGGAAGATGCTTGTTTAAAGAACTGAAATGAGAAGACAGTTTCTACTGTCCAGTGACTCAGTTTCACTCTGTTGGCATATGTCTACTGAATTATTTTTAAAACACCATAAGCATTGATTTAGAGATTGTGAATCAGTTCCAGTGAACAAATTCTCAAATATAGAATTCAAATATAGAATTCTCAATATAGAATTCAGCCATAGAATTCTTCAAATATAGAAATTCAAATATAGATTGACTATGTGTTTACTTATATTGACTGAGCACTTACTATAAGCCAAACCCTACAGTAGGTATTTGCCATTGCTTAGTTAATATTTACATTTACATTCTGATATAGGCATTTAAAAGCAGATAGCTCACTTCTTGGCAATTTTTTATTCTTTCATCCCAGCTCCCCAATTGAGATATTCATTAGACTAGATTTAGGCAAGCCAGCCCACTTCCAGAATAATAGGAAAATTGATCAGTTATTTATGTCAGATAGTCCTGAGTTTCTTTTGTTTGTTTGTTTACTTATTTATTTTTATCCTCATAGTAGTGCTTGAACTTAGGACCTCATGCTCTTGCTTAACTTTCACTCAAGACTAGTGTTCAACACTTGAGCCACATCTCCACTTCTGACTTTTTGCTGGTTAGTTGGCACTAAGAGTCTCTCAGCTTTGTCTGCCCAAGCTGGCTTTGAATCTCAGTCCTCAAATCTCAGCCTCTTGAGTATGTGGGATTACAGGTGTGAAGGACCAATGCCCTGCTTACATCTTTTATTATACTAGTTATATTGATATTTTGATTGTATTAACAACTCAGAAAGATGATTTTGGAGCAAAGAGAGAAGCAAACCATTTGTAATCTCATCACTAACAAATTCAGTGATGGTGATTATTGTTAATTATTATCACCCTTCAGTACTTGTGATTATGATCACAGTAGATGTATTTTTTATTTTTGCCCAATAATGTATTTTGTATTTCTTCCATATTGAAGTATGAGTCTTAAGGATATTACATTTACTGTTAGTACTTCAGCAAAGAATATCAGATTCATTTATATAAGTTTCCTCTTGTGTCCAGGGGAAATTTAGATGACCACCTCTCCAGTTCATTGTGCCCTTTTCTCATATGTGAGGCTAATTCTCCAGATTAAAAAATTTTTAAACCCACAAACTCCAGTAGCTCAGGCCTGTGAATAGTTTGGAGGCAGAGAATGGGAGGATCTAGGTTTGAGGCCAGCCTGAATAGAAAAGTTAGCAAGATCCCCTCTCAACTCATAGCTGGGCCCAGTGGCATGTGCCTGTCATTCCAGGCTATTTGAGAGGCGGAAACCAAAGTGCTTGAACCTGGGCAGAAAAGTCTTTCTTCTTTTCTTCATGGAAGGGAAACTGGACTAGCAATACCAGCTTATATGCAGGTGTGGGTAGAAAGTAAGACTCTACCCTGAAAACAACCAGTGAAAAACAGGGCTTGAGGTATGGTTCAGCAGTATTGTACAAGTTTGAGGCACTAAGTTCAAATCCCCCAGTAATACAAGAATAAATGGGCATCCAGATGAAGTGTGAAGTGGCTCCTTTTCCAAAACTCCTCTGAATGTATGGCCCTATACTAAATTGGACTTATAAAAAATTGCATTGTTAGCCAGTGCCGGTGGCTCACGCCTGTAATCCTAGCCACTCAGGAGGCTGAGATCTGAGGATCATGGTTCAAAGCCAGCCCAGGCAGGAAAGTCCGTGAGACTTTTATCTCCAATGAACCACTAGAAAACTGGACGTGGTGCTATGGCTTAAGCAATAGAGCACTTGCCTTGAGCTGAAGAGCACAAGGAAAGTGCCCAGACACAGAGTTCAAGCCCCATGACCAACAAAAAAAAAATGTATTGTTATCATAAAGATGATGTACAAAAGGGTTGCAGTTACATAAGTCAGATCAAGAGTCCATTTCTTTTTAGATAATGCTACCCCTTCCCTCACTCTCTCCCAGTTTTTCTCTCCCATCCCCATGAACAAGATGTCAACATAGTGTACAGTAAAGTTGTCTTTTTAAATGTATGTATGTATTGGCTTATTAACTAATTGATTTTTAGAGAGAGGATCATACTATGTAGTCCAGGTTTGCCTTTAATCTACCACATAACTAGCATAGGTTGGCCTTGAACTCATATCCTACTACCTTTGTCTCATTCAAGTGCTAGGGTTACAGACATGCTCCATAAGTTCAGCCAGTTGTCTTTTAGAATGAGAAACAGGAACCTGCTGAAAACAAAGCAAAGAAGCAGGTAAGATCTTCCAGGACTTTAGGTAGGGTTCTCCTAGAAAACAAGGCTAGGCAGTGAATGAGGGCTGAGTCTTGGGAGGACTTAGAACAGAGGTCAGGCAGGTCACAGGGACCAGAGGTAACTTGACATGCCCTGCCTTATGCTGTGCAGCTTCTCAGCTTTTCCTTGTGTATCTGCTTTATTCTCCACCCCTGCAGCCTGGCTTCCCTGGCATTCCCAATTGGGTGGGCAAACACATTTGTCAAGGCTGGCACCTTTGACCCCCATTTGAAGCCCTCTAATGGATCTGGTCTAGGAATCTCAGTGCCCAATTCCTAAGAGCAAGTCTGGTTGGCCCTATCACCTGTGGCAGGTAGCAGTTAGGATGGGAACTTGCATTTCATTGTTCTGGACAAGGTTCAGGACCAGCCGTTCCCTAAGAGGGTACTGTTTCCAGCACAGAGGCAGAGATGGATCATGAGCTGGGTAGATAACCAGGGATGGCATCACCTAATGCAGATAATCTGTGACAAATGATTTTCTTTATAGACTAAACCTTTTCTTCCACTAGGAATGTTTTTGAATATACCTCTCCTGGCACCAACTCCATGCCAGCAGATTCCTTAGGAATAATCTGAGAGTGACTGGCACACACACTTTTTTTTTTTGGTGCCTATGCTGGGGCTTGAACTCAGGGCCTGGGCACTGTCCCTCAGCTTTTTGCTCAAGGATGGTGCTCTACCACTTGAGCCACAGCTCTACTTTTGGCTTTAGGTGGTTATTTGGTGATAAGAGTCTTATGAACTTCTCTGCACAGGCTGGCTTTGAAATGCAATCCTCAGGTGTCAGCCTCCTAAGTAGCTAGGATTTCAGGTATGAGCCACCAGGTTGGCCTGATTTTAACTCTTGTTCTTCTTCTTTCTGGTAGCAAAATACAATGAGTCACTGTTGTCTTTCATATTCTGACACTAGAGAATTTGCCTGGCTCCTGAAGAGTCCTGGTGGAGCCTTCAAATCCTTGAATCCTGCCCTTACTTTAGAATTTCCCATGCTGCTGTGTGTGTTTACAACTGAATCACCTTTGTCTGATCTTGGGCAAGTTACTTGAGCTCCTTTCTGTTTCCTCTTTTCTATAACGAGTAGCAACAAGCCCATAGGCTGGCTGTGAGACTTATCACACAGAGCGTGTTTTATGCCAGTGCTGTCTTCTCCAGTTTGTGGCGTTCCTAGGTTCATCACAGCCTTGTGCCTATCAAGTCTAGCTGGAGACCCATATCCATCTGCAGGATAGGGATGGAAAACTGCAACTTGTTAGTGTATGATCAGCTCTCCTCCTTCCTTTCCCTTCCATCCCCCTCTGTTGCATAAGCAGCTTGTGCTGGCCTGGCGCTGCCCTCTACTGCTCCTTCCCAGGGCTCTCAAGTGACACCATCAGAGAAAACAGTCTTGTCAGATGGTGTCAGGTGTTTACTAAGGACACACACAGACTGGACCTGGAAAGTGATTGATACAGTCTAGGAGAACAGATTCGTTTTCTCTACGCATTAAAGAATTAAAAGGCAGGAGAGTGTTTAAGGTAAACAGAGTAAGTTGATTTGAAAAATGAAAGCTATGATCCATGGAGGGAAAATGGAATCACAGAAACAGAAGGACAAAGGATGAACTAATGCAACAATGATACTCACTTGACACTATGTTAGAAATGAACTATACAACTTGTAGAAGAGAAGGGAATAGGGAGGGGTAAGTAGGAGAAAATGAGGGAGAGGGTAACAATGTTTCAAAACTATGTATTCATTATTTATGTAACTGTAACCCCCCTTCATTACTGTTACAATAAAGATGTAAAAATAAAATAATATTTAAAAACCTGATACAAAAAGAAAAATGAAAGTCATGAAAAAAAAGTAGTGAAGCTCTCCATTAGGAGACAGGCCCAAACAGGAGTCCAATGGAGGCTTCTTTGAGGGCAAGCACAGGGTCTTCCCTGGGCTTTGGACTGATTGATGGCTTGTGCATTCATTACCCTGGTTCTTTACATTGGTACCCAGGGCATTATGGGAAGAAGTGTTTGAGCAGGAACCCATGACATTATGGGAAGAAGAAGCATTGAGCAGGAGCCCAAAGTCCTATGGGAACAGGAAATGCCAAGCTAGGATACATATTACCAGCCATGTGTTACATCTGCCACTTTTTATTCCTATCTACCTAACTGTTCCTCTTTCTCTCTCTCATGATCAAGAACTGAGACAGCATGGAATACCAGCCTGCACTCTCTGTGGCTTCTCCCCTGTGCTTCCCTTTCCACCAATGTGTTAACATGGGACAACTTTACTGTCTCTTATAAATGGAGTGTCTGAACTGGGCAGTTCTAACTTAGAGGTGATTCTTGATATGGTCTTCTCTAGCTAAAGAGGCTGAATAGTTTCCTTCTGTGGCTTTTGTCAGAATAGGGTAGTGGAGGCAGCCTGGTCAGTGGACGTTATGCCAAGTTGTGGCCTGCCAGAAAGTGAAGTCTGTTATGCCACGAGAGATTTCACCTTAAAATGCAATGCTAAAGCCCCATGGTGGGCCGCTGTGGCTTCCTGGAATGCCTTTTTAATTTAAGCAGGGTGAGCTCTGTGCTTTGCTCACTATTGACTTTAAAACTTCATATTTCCAACTTGCACCCAAAGTTCTACCATTAGAAAACTTGGGTGTATTACCTGTTTCCAAGCAGTACTTGTGTTTTGGGGGGAGTGGCACTTATGATCACTGTGTTTGTTTGAATTATTATCTTCATTTCAGCCACTGGTGGTGCAAAGCTCTAAACAATGAGATACATACAAGACAAGTTTTGATGGAGGAAGGTTTGGGAATGGGGAGACCTCTCTAGGGAATAGGATCTAGAAAACCAGTACTGAGGAGAGAGAGAGCCTGGGCCCTCAGAAGGAGAGGAGGCACCCCATTCTTGTGGAACTCTGTAGTAACGCAAGCTTCTTCCATGAAGTCAGACTTCCAAATCCCTTTGCCTAAAAAAGCAAGATAACTTATTTATTAAAAACAGTATATGCTTCTTGTTCTCATGAGACTATGACCAATAAGGAATTCATCCATAAAGCATTTTTATCTGATGAGGTGGTGACCATTGCATGATTTGACATTTAGAATCAAAGGTAGTAGCTTTTAACCCTTAGGTGTTGCCACTTGGAAACAGGGCAACTCCAATATTGAGTTCCTGGCATCTCAGACTTAAATGTATGTACAAATCATGTTGGAATCTTGGTTCAAAAGTAGAGTCATAAGGCCAGGCACTGGTGGCTCATACCTGTAATGTTAGCTACTCAGGAAGCTGAGATCTAAGGATCACTGTTTGAAGCCAGCCTAGGCAAGAATGTCCATGAGATTCTTATCTCCAATTAACTACTAAAAAGCTGAAAGTAGAGCTGTGGCTCAAGTGGTAGAGCACTAGCTTTGAGTAAAAAAGCTTGAGGACAGTGTACAATCTTGGAGTTCAAGACCCAGGACCAAAAGAAAAAAATTAAAAAGGAGTCAGGGCTGGGAATGTGGCTTAGTGGTAGAGTGCTTGCCTTGCATGCGTGAGGCCCTGGGCTCAGTTCCTCAGTACCACATAAACAGAAAAAGCCAGAAGTGGTAGAGTGCTAGCCTTGAGGCAAAAGAGCTCAGGAACAGTGGCCAGGCCCTGAGTTCAAGTCCCAAGCAAAAAGATAGATGAGAGAGAGAGAGAAAAAGAGACAGAGAGACTGAGCACTCCATCTATGTACTAATGAATCTTCTACCCCTTCCCCCCACCCCCAGTTCTTCCCCATAGTGCTATTTCTGTGCCCTTTACTTGATCTCCTCCTTCCTTATTTGATTACTACTTCAGTGGAATTTATTCTACTTTATTTTTCTATTGCTTCTTCTTTTTAGGGTCATAGGCATACATGCATATAGTTTTGGGTCCCTTTTTGGTTCTTGTGCTACAGGTAGCACACTATAAACACTATTTTGAACTAGTTATCTTTGAGATATGGGTCTTTCTTTCCTTTTTATTGAAGTATAGTCTTTCACCTTGTGAGTATACCATCATTTGTTCAAGTAGTCGTCCCACCATGATAACATCTGAGTTGCTCTTAGTCTTTTGCCACTAAAATTATGATGTAATAAATAGTCATGGATATAGGGGCTTCCCTGTTTTTGACAGTTTGTCAGAGTATTACAAGTAATATTTGTAGACAACTAACTCCATTTTATAAATTAAGATAACCTGAGAAGTTTTCTGTTCTTTATAACCAAGGAAGTCATGATTGTGAGGACTCCTTTCTATGTAGCAGGTAAACTTCTATTCTAGAGAGAAGAATTTACATCTATCCCTCTAATATCTTTCATACTTCCCCCAAAAAGCTTGCAATTTTTCTTCTTTATATAATTTCCATGGCAGTTTCACATTGCTTTGTTTATAGCTAGTCACCTGCTTATGTCTCATCTCCTGACAATAAATTGCTGCTGACGCAAAAAAAAAAGAGACAGAGAGAGACAGAGAGAGTGTGTATGTCAGATTCGGCAGGTGTGGTGTGAAGCCTGAGATTTTCCATTTCTAATAAGCTCCTAAATAATGCTTAATAGCCAGGATTTTAACTCATGTTCCTTGGTGACCTTACCTGTGGGAACTTCAGCTATAAAGGAGGAGGTACACTGTGTACCTTCCATCATTACACAGGTAAACTGAAACTTTCTTTTTTTTTTTTTGGTCAATTGTGGGGCTTGAACTCTGGGCTTGGGTACTGTCCCTGGGCTCTTCAGCTTAAGGCAAGCGCTCTACCGCTTGAGCCACAGTGCCACTTCTGGTTTCCTAGTGGTTTATTGGAGATAAGAGTCTCACGGACTTTCCTGCCTGGTCTGGCTTTGAACCTCGATCATCAGATCTCAGCCTCCTAAGTAGCTAGGATTACAGGCGTGAGCCACCGGCACCCAGCTTGAAACTTTCTTATGAGAAGGGTATGTGTTAAGCAAGCAGTCCATGATTGAGCCTTTCTTCCTCAAAAGACCTGCCTGGCATTGGGTAGGAACATCATACTTGCTACTTGTGCTATTGTGCCTTATCTTACTGCCTGGGTGACTCATGTCTTGGGAGAAGCCTTGCAGTGACATCTTACATAAGAGCCTTCCAATTTGATGACCTCTGGTTGCCCTTCCTCCAGTTTGGGAAGATCCAATTAATCTGGAATCCCGATATGTCATTCAACTCTGGCACTTTGTCCTTTTGTCCACAGGTGGTTGCCTTTATGAAGTCCCCAGTGGGTCAGTACCTGGACAGACATCCTTTCCTGGCCCTCGCGGTGCTGGTGTTTGTCGCCATGTCAGCCATTCCGGTCGGGTTCTTCCTGCTCTTTGTGGTGCTTACTTCACTGCTTGCTCTCGTGGGAGTTGTATTACTGGAAGGTATATTGCTCAGTTATTGGAAAGTGAAGTTTGTTTACTCTGTCGAGCCTCAAACTCGACAGGTAAAGAAAATGGGCAGGGGCTGGGAAGGTGGCTCAGTGGTAGAGCACTTGCCTTGCATGCCTGAGGCCCTGGGTTCAATTCCTCAGCACCACATGAGCAAAAAGCAAAAAGCCGGAAGTGGCGCTGTGGCTCAAGTGGTAAAGCTCTAGCCTTGAGCTGAAGAGCTGAGGGACAGTGCCCAAGCCCAGAGTTCAGGCCCCACGACCGGACCCAAAAAAAAAAAAAAAAGAAAGAAAGAAAATGGGCAAAACAGGTGCCAGTAATCCTAGCTGTAATCCTAGCTACACAAGAGGCTGAGCTCTGAAGATCACAGTTTGAAGCCAGCCTGAGCAGGAAAAAAAAAAAGCCATAACTAGAGCTGTGGTTCTAGTAGTAGAGCAGCACTAGCCTTGAGGGAAAAAAACCTCAGGGATGGTGCCCAAGTCCTGAGTTCAAACCCCAGGGCACACACACACACAAGAAAAAGAAAAGAAAAGAAAAAAAGGAGGACGAGGGGGAGGGGGTGGGGAATTCAAATGTAATCCAGTTTGTGAAGAGTAGGGATTGGAGGCCAGCCAGTTGTCACCATGCCCTGAGGCCCACTTGGGCGGTAAGATTGCCTCCACTTTCCTTGATTCCAGAAATCTCCATTCTTATGGGGAAGTGCCTCACTTCCAAAATGTGAGTTAACTGTCATTATTTTACACATACTAGCCCAGGCTCTGCTTGAGAGGTAAACCCTTTTCCTAACCATGCTCTCCTTCTAGGACTGGTCATCTCTGTGGGGGGCCTCGCCCTGCTTTGTGTCCTCTGTGGCGTGGGCTTTGTGTCACTCACCCTGTCTGGAATGATCCTAGTGACCTACATGGTGGCCTCCAGCTTCATCAGCTACTGGTTTTCTCCCAGGTACACACATGTCAAGGGAACAATTTTATTGTGACCATTTGAGAGGCCAAAATTTCAGAGTCAGGTATTTTCTCATAGTTGCCAATACAGCACATCAGACATCAAATAGAAATTTACAGTGGAGTCTCAAACATAAACTGGCCTGGTAGCTTACTCCTGTAATCCTAACTACTCAGGAGGCTGAGATTTGAGGGTCACAGTTCCAAGCCAACCCAGGCTGGAAATTCCGTGAAACTCTTATCTCTAAGTAACCAGCAAAAAGCCAGAAGTGGAACTGTAGCTCAAGTGCTAAAATACCAGACTTGAGCAAAATGCTGAAGGGACAGTGCCCAGGCCCTGAGTTCAAGTCTCAACACACACACACACACACACACACACACACACACACACAGACTACCACCACCCATCACACATAGAACTCATCTCATTGTCAATCTACTATGGATTGCTTATCGGATATCCTTTCATTTACAAAGGCCAAATTAAGGTGTTTGGGGTCAGATAGAGATGGAGAAAAGCAGGCTGTAGAATGCCCATTCCTAGAGTGGCAGAGCAGTCAGGAAGCCGCCTTCCCCAGTCACACACTGATTGCATCTCATGTTTGACTGTAGGTTCTGTTCTTTCACTGTGGTTCCCTGGGCCTTGACTGAAGGAGCAGTGATCTGTTTAAAAGCTGGAAGGAAACCAACTTGGCTCTATTATTTTTGTTTGTCCCTTGTGTGGAAGCCCTGTTCTTCATGTAAGCTCTTGCTAGCTTGATGACAGTGGATAATACCTAGGGAGCACTTGCTCTGTCCCAGGGTCTCTTAAACAATTTCTGAGCCTCATCTTGTAAAATCTTCACAGCTCACACAGTCTGTAATAAAGAAAATGAATATAAGTACCCAAACAGAGCTAGGACTTAAATCCAGGTCACTTAACTCTAATAAAGTCCTCTTAAACAAGATGTGAAGTGACTGCAGAAGTGACGGCAGTAAGTATTTAGTGGGGGTTTTTTTTAGACTATGTTATTATTTTCCCAATAGATCTGCTCAGTTGCTATAGCATAAAAGCAACAGAAGCAAGTGAATGTATATATCTGTGTCCCAATAAAACTTTATTTACAAAAATGAACAGTTGGACCAGGCACTGGTAGCTCAAACCTGTAATCCTTAACTACTCAGGAGGCTGTGATTTAAGGATTGAATTTCAAAGCCACCCTAGGCAGAAAATTTGATGAGATTCTTTTTTTTTGGGGGGGGGGTCCAGTCGCAGGGCCTGAACTCTGGGCCTGGGCTCTGTCCCTCATCTCTTCAGCTCAAGGCTAGCACTCTACCACTTGAGCCACAGTGCCACTTCCGGCTTTTTTTCTTTTTGCTTATGTGGTGCTGGGGAATTGAACCCAGGGCCTCATGCATGCAAGGCAAGTGCTCTACCACTGAGCCACCTTCCCAGCCCATTGATGAGATTCTTATATCCAGTTAACTAGCACAAGGCCAGCAGCCTTGAGTGAAAAAGCTAAGCAAGAACAGGAGGACTGAGTTCAAGCCCCAGTACTGGTGCATGCATGCGCACGTACACAGAGAGAAAATTAAAAACCAGAGAGCTGTCTGGGTTTGGTCCCTGGGCCATAGTTACCAACCCTTTGAACTAGCCTTCAGTTTCTTATCACAATATTACTCTGTGGTTATTCATTTGTTGGAGTGGGTGTAAATTGAAGTTGCTCAGGGCTGGTTCTCACAGAATTACTTCACTGATACAATTGGAGTCACATCTAACATTTCCCAAGTCGCTTTGATTACTATCAGTCTTAAAGGAGATGAAAGGGGAAAGAGTGACTTACTTGGTTTATTGAGGGTGATGCTTTGAGCCCAGATCCCTCCCAGCCTAGGAACTCTGCTCAAATAAGATGAAGTTCTTTAAAATTATTCCATATTGCCAAGTGTTAGTGGTTCATGCCTGTAATTCTAGCTACTGAGGAGGCTGAGATCTAAGGATCTTGGTTCAAAGCCAGCCTGGGCAAGAAAGTCCCTGACACTCTCATCCCCAATTTACTTTCTAACACTTAAGTGGTAGAGTGCTAGCCTTGAGCAAAAAAAAGCTCAGAGATGGCATCCAGGCACTGAGTTCAAGCCTTAGGCCCAGCACCAAATTTTTAAAATATTTTTTATTGAGATTGTGATTATATAAATTTCACACATTTCATAGTATTGTGGGATAGTGATACTTAGTTAAAGTCACAAACACATTTTAATCTTGCACAGTTCCACAGAAGTAGCAAATGGCTATTTGTTAATGAAGCGCTTGAAAAAATATACCTAGAATTTGGACTTGATCTTCTCTTCCTAACCCAGGGAGTTGTTTGGACCATCGTTGTCACTTGGACCCAGATTCTCAAGCTTTTTGACCTTAGGACTCATTTTACCTCTATTGAAGAAACACATTGACCAGCAAATAATGTCATATCCTCAGCTATGACACTTTTCCATTTAAAAATAATTTTTATTGTTATTATAAAGTTGATGTACAGAGGGGTTGTAGTGACACAAGTCACGTAATGAGTACATTTCTTTTTTGGACAATGTCACCCCTTCTTTTACTCTCTTCCAGTTTTTCCCTCTTGTCCTCACCCACAAGTTAGATAGTTCATTTTCAACATAGTGTCTAGTACCACTCAGCATTTGTTCACCCTTTGTCCCTCCATTTCTGTGCCCCCCTTACCATCCCAATGACAGATAGATAGATTAAAATAAAGACAGATAAATATAAAAATAAAACAAACAGAAAGAAAACAAAAACACCAAGAAAGAAAAAAACCTCTTGCTTCCATTTCCTGGAGTTCATTTAGATAAATATTATTTTATATGATCAGATGTACATAAATAGTGTGCCTTTGTGTTCCTCTCCCAAGGGCATCCTCCATTGGTCTCACTGAGTGTGAATGCCTAGAGTCATATATAATTTATATGTCCCAGTGTATTTTAGATCTAGCTTCCACATATGAAAGAAAAAATATGCCATTTGTCTCTCTGAGCTTGACTTACCTCACTTAACATGGTTTGTTCTAGGTCCATCCATTTCCCTGCAAATGATATAATCTCATTCTTTCTAATGGCCATGTAAAATTTCATTGTGTATAGCTACCACATTCTTTTGAGTCACTCATCTATTGTAGGGCTGTTTCCATAGCTTAGCTATTGTGAATAGTGAAGTACTGAACATGGATGTGCAGGTGTCTTTACAGTATCCTGGCTTATGATGTTCTGGGTAGATGCCAAGGAGTAGTTTGGCTGCTGGGTCATAGGAAAGATCTATGTTTAATTTTTGAGGAACTTCCAGAATAGTGAGAGAAGCACAGGTCTACTCTAGCACAAGTACAGAGAGAGGAAATTGGGCCCCACTCCACAGTGTGGGAGCCCTGGGAGGGATGTTTCCATAGCTTGCCTAGTATGACTAATGTAGCAATGAAAATGGATGTTCAGGGTAAATGCCCAGGAGTGGTGTGGCTGGGTTATAAGAAAGATGTAGGTTTAGGGTTTTCTTTTGCTTTTTGAGGAACCTCCAGACTGCTGTCCAGAGTGGTTGTACTAGTTTTCATTCCCACCAACAGTTGCAATAGGGTTCTTTTTTCCCCATCCCCAACAACATTGGTTATTGTTCAAATTCATGATACTAGCTAATCTTTCTGGGATTAGATGGAATCTCAGAGTTGTTTGACTTGTATTTTCTTTAGGCCAGAGATGATGAGCATTTTCTTATGAGTTTCTTGGCCATTCTTCCCTTTTCTTCTGAGACATCTATCCTTAGATCCTTTGCCCATTTAGTGATTGGCTTATTAGCTTTGAGAGTCATTGATTTCTTGAGCTCCTTGTATATTTTGGATATTAGGCCTGTGTCGGATGTATTGCTGGTAAAGATCTTTTCCCAGTCCACTGGCTATCTTTCTAATTTATCATATGTCCTTTGCTGTGTGGAAACTTTTTTTTTTTTGCTTTTTTTTTTTTTTTTTTTTTGGTCGGTCGTGGGGCTTGAACTCTGGGCTTGGGCACTGTCCCTGCGCTCTTCAGCTCAAGGTGAGTACTCTACCACTTGAGCCACAGCGCCACTTCCCATGTGTGGAAACTTTTTACTGAGATGTAATCCCATTTGTCAAGTGTCCTATCTGCTATGCCCCTAGGACTCTTCAAAAAGTTCCTGCCTATGCCTGAGTTCTCGTGTTTAGCCTACTCCCTCTTGCAGTAATTTCAGAGTTTCGGGTCTGACATTGAGGCCTTTGATCCACTTTGAAATGATCTTAGTGCACGGTGACAAACTGGAATCTACTTTTAGTTTCTGCATATTGATGCCCAGTTTTTCCAACACCAGTTCTTGAAACGGCTATCTTTTTTTCCACTGAATATCTCTGTCTCCCCTATCAAATATTAGATGATTGAACGTATGTGGTTTTATTTATGGGTCTTTTAGTCTGTTCCATTGACCATTAGGTCTATTTTTTTTTGTTTGTGTAGCTCTGTAGTAGAGCTTGAGGTTTGGGATTATGATACCACCGCATTGCTTTTTTTTTTTTTTTTTTTGCCTCGAATTGCTTTGGCTATTCAAGGTCTTTTGTTTTTCCATATGAGTTTTTGGATTGTTTTCTCTATCTTGATAAAGAACTTCATTGGGATTTTGAGATGGATTGCATTGAATTTGTAGATAATTTTTGGTAGTATGGCCATTTTCACAATATTAATTCTACCTATCCATGAACATTGAAGGTCTTTTCATTTCCTAACACCATCTTTGATGGTTAAATTTTTATAGTTTTCACTATAAAGGTCTTTTGCTTCATTTGGTTAAGTTTTTCTCAGATTTTTTGGGGCTATTGTAAATGAAGCTGTTTTCCTGATTTCCCTCTCTGCTTATACATTGTTGTTTATACAGAAATGCTAGTGATTTTTGTAGGATAATTTTGTATCCTGCTATTTGATCAGCTGAGAATCTGGCAATGGAGTCTTTTGTGTCCTTTAGATACAAGATCATGTCATCTGCAAATAAAAATAGTTTGACTTCTTCTTTCCCTATGTGAATCTCTTTTATGTCTTTTTCTTGCTTTATTGCTCTGGCTAGAAATTCCAGAACCATATTGAAGAGGAGTGGAGAGAGTGGACATCCTTGCCTTGTTCCCGATTTTAGAGGAAATGGTTTTAGTTTTTCCCCGTTCAGTATGATGGTGGCTGTTGGTCTGTTATATATAGCCTTTATTATTTTGAGGTATGTTCCTTCTATTTCTAGCTTCTCCAGAGTTTGTTTTTAACATGAATGGTATTGGATTTTGTCAAAGGCTTTTTCCACATCTGTTGAGATGATATGTGGTTTTTGTCTTCAGCTCTGTTGATTGATGTATGTTAAACCAGCCTTATATCTCTGGGATTAAACCCACTTGATCATAATGTATGATTTTTTGGATTACTTGCTGAATTCTGTTGGCTAAGACACCCTTGCTATTGAGCTAACTCTTTTATCCTGTCACCAAACAGACCACTGACACAGCAAAACCCCAGTGTCATCTTTCAGCTGTCCACAGACCTCGAGGGCTTACACCAGGAATGACGAGTTGCTGGAACCAGAGATTGTTTCTCTTCATCTCAGGAAAATTGTCGGGTCACACTCACCGCCTTGGGGTTATGGCTAAGAGAAAGGAGCTGGGTAAAATGTGTTTCATGGGGCCTCTAGCTTCTTTACTTACTGTGTACAAAATTGTGCTATGGCCCAGATGGACTCTTGCCCATGACTCTCCAGTATACAATCTTGATGTTGGCAGGGTCTAAGCATTTTTTCTTCCCACGGCTTAATCTCAGGACCTGGCACCGTCCCCTTTCTTTTTTCTTTTCTTTTTTTTCCCGTGGGGATTGAACTCTGATTTTCTGACTGGTTTATTGGAGATAAGAATCTCACAGACTTTCCTGCCCAGGCTGGCTTTGAATCATGATCCTCAGATCTCAGCCTTCTGAGTAGCTAGGATTACAGGCATGAGCCACAAGCACTTGGCCCATCCCCTTTCTTTTTTGCTCAAGTCTGGTGCTTTACCACTTGAGCCACAACTCTACTTCCAGCTTTTTTCTGGTTAGTTGGAGATAAGAATCTCACAGACTTTCCTGCCAGGGTTGGCTTGTAACCATGATCTTCAGATCTTAGTCTCCTGAGTGGCTAGGATTATAGGTGTGAGCCACTGGTGTGAGCCCAGCAACAGTGGATTGTTTTCTGAGGGATTTTTCTTGTTGTTGTGTTTTAGAAGGAGAGAAGCTGTATTTTTATTCACTGAAAGAAGAAATGAGAGAAAAAATACAAAACAGAACCAGCTCTTCTGCCTTACTCTTTTGTTTTGTTTTTTAATCAAAAAGAGCAGCAACATTTGGGAACAATACCAACTCAAGATTGCAAGAGTCCTAAATCTGTGGCCCAGAGTCTTTTTTAAAAAGCTTTGTCATTATTTCCATTGTAACTGCTGATTACTATTAACTCTTACTTCTCTTTTACATATTTGTACTTGATACTTTCAGTTCTGGTTTAAAGAACTTGACTTGTGAAGTCATTTCTTTTTTTTACAAAAAAAATGCTATAAGACTACATACAAAGTCAAATAAAATATCTCCTGTGATTTATACTTCAGTGGCTTATTTGCTGTGGCATTTTATTAAATATTTGTTGGGTGGGATTTTTTTCTGTACTTTTTTGTTCAGGTACATCAGACTTGCTGTGTTAATTTTCCATTACTGTGACAAAATGCCTGAGTTAGTAAGCTTTATAAAGGACTTGTTAATTTAGGTCATAAGTTCAGATTCAGTCCATGGTCACTTGGTTCGTTTGGTTTAGGACAGTGGTCGTACATAATGGTAGAGACTGAGGTGCCAGGCTCTGGACACTCGTACCTGTAATCCGAGCTGTCCTGGAGGCTGAGGAGGATGGGTTCTAGGCCCAGGTTCTGGGCAAAATGTTTGCAAAACCTCATCTTAACCAATAGCTAAGTATAGTGACACATGCTTGTCATCCTAACTATGGCAAGCAACATAAATAGAGAGACCATAGATTGACACTCTACTGAATGACCAGGAAAAAACATGAAGAGACTGGAGGCATGGATCAAGAGATGGAGTGCTTGCCTAAGAAGTATGAAGGCCTGGGTTCAAAGCCCAGTACTATGAATTAAGAGAGAGAGGTGGGGAGCTGGGTGCTAATGTCTCCTTCGATGGTTCTTCCCCTAAGCATCTAACTTCCTTCTACTAAGTCCCACTCATTAAAGCTACCTCCTCCCAATAGTGCCATAAACTGGTAACTAAGGTTTAGAACATGGGTCTTTGAGGGCCCATGGAAACTTTAGCATCTGCCTATTTCCATCTCTGCTGGTTTTGCTGCAGATCATAGGTGATACACCTTTTTTACTTAATAGTGAAAGATCTCCAATTCCAAGTTGTTTTCTAAAAGAGGTTGTTGGCAGGGGAGAGGGGATTAATGAACTGAAAAGCCAAGGTAAAGACTTCAGGCACCGCTGGATTCAGGGGCTAGATGGTTTCAGCCCTGCTTTTATAACTGTTAGCTGCAGGAAGTACTGTCCCATGTGGAGTAAAAGTTAGTTCCCAGTACTAGGAAATGATTAGTACTGAGAACTACAGTGCGAGTAATACTACAGTAGTTCTACAGTACTACTACTACTACAGTGTAGAAGTACCAGCGTAGGGAGTACTAAGACTAGTACTGATGATTCAGTACTACAGAATGACTCCCCATGCATGGAAATTCTGGGTTTACCTCTAATTGGACAGATTTGAGTCATGTAAGTAACCCTGGACCAATCACAGGCAGGACAATAGGATATGTTAATAAGGCAGGGCTGGGACCTGTGTCCATTTGGAAGCCAGGAGAGGGGATAGAACTAGGGACTTCACATAAGATGGGGATGATGAGGTATAGAGACAGAAGGAGGCCCCCAAAGGAATAACAGAAGAAAAGAGTGTGCTGAGCAGAGAAAAGCATGCTGTTATTCACTGTGGTAGTACTGAAACCTATGTAGCCCATGACATTCAGTTGTACTTGACAAATGGTGGATTCGTCCCCTATTGGAGAACAAGAACTACGTAATCCTACCAGTGCTCTAGAGTGTGACTATGAGCAATAACTATTAAATGTCTCTTCTGGCAAGCGTCTGCTATTAACTGTTTATACTTAGTCATCTACCCAGCTGGGTTCTGAGGCTTCAATAATAATGCAAAGGTCCCTAGCTTCCCTCCCGAAGTTTACTGTCTAATGCAGAAATCACAAAACATGTATTATCTCACTTGTTCTGTCTGAATTCTTTATAAGACTGCAGTTGTAGTATTAGTAGGGCTGAGTTCTCACTGAAGATTTTTTGTTGTTGTAAGCATAGGTCCTGGAACTTGAACTAAGGACCTGGACAATGTCCTCAAGCTTTTGTGCTCAAAGCTAGTGCTCTATCATTTGAACCACAGCTCTATTTCTAGATATTTTTTCTCATGGTTAATTGAAGATCGGAGTCACAGGTTTCTCCTGCCTGGGCTGGCTTTGAAAGGCGATCCTCAGATCTCAGCCTCTTGAGTAGCTAAGATTACAGTCATGAGCCACCAGTGCCCAGCTCACTGGAAATTAGACTGGGGGAGGATTTACATGCAAGAACATGAGGTCAACCATTGGCATCACCCTGTTCCTTGCTGGTTCCTGGGCTGAGGTCCTCAATTCCTTGCCATGACTTCTCCAAAGTTGGTTCATAATGTGGCCAGTAGCACCATGGCAGCCATCAAGTGAGTGATCTCTGAGTATCTCTGGACATTATACAAATTTCTTTGGAAGGTGTAGCAAGTCACCTGCCTCCAAACTGGGGTAACTCTAGAGCTCAAAGAATGACTCAAATCTAGCTCAAATAAGCAAAAGTAAGTTTTTGGTTTTGTGTCAGTACTGAGGTTTAAACTCAGGGCCTCGAGCTCTTGTCTGGCTTTTCCACTCAAAGATGGAACTCTATCACTTGAACCACACCTCTACTTGTAGATTTTTGTTGGCTAATCAGAAATAAGAGTCTTGTGGACTTTCCTTGCCCAGGCTGGCTTTGGACTCTGACCCTCAAATCTCAGCCTCCTAAAAAGTTAGGATTACTGGCATGAACACCAGTGCCCAGCAGTAAAGGCAAGCTTTAATGGTTATTTACAGAGCAGGGACACCTACATGAGAACAGAATTTACCCACACTAGTCCTTAACTCCTGAAAAGCTGTCTCTAGATTCCTTGAAATCCCCAAAACTACCCATTCCCTTCCTATACACCAGGCTCTTTATTTGTTTATTTATTTTGGTGCCAGTCCTGGGGTTTGAACTCAGGGCCTGGGCACTGTCCTTGAGCTTTTCTGCTCAAGGCTCGTGCTCTCCTACTTTAGCCACTGCTCCATTTCTGGCTTTTTTTGGTGATTAATTGGAGATAAGTCTCACAGACTTTCCTAACTCCTCTGGCTTTGAGCCATGATCCTCAGATCTCAGCCTCCTGAGTAGCTAGGACTATAGGCGTGAGCCATTGCCAGCCAGCTCAGGCTCTTCTTTTTATATAATTCTAGGTGTATAGCAGAAATCTGAACTAGAGTTTACCCAAGACCAAAATTAGTAGAAGCAACTACGTACAGCTCAATACGTGAGAAAGGTATTTGCTTCTGTATGTTCAGTACTGGGGTTTGAATCCTGGGCCTCACTCTAGGCAGATACTCTAGCCCCTCTCCTTGCTCTTCTCATGCTGATCTTGGCAGACATCTAACTGGGAGTAGGAGGGTTTGCATGTAGAGCGATTAAATGGTAGGATGCTGCAAGATGGTGCTACTCTGGCTAGGAGTCAGAGGACTAGTCACAACTCTTTAGGTAACACAATCATGTATGTGCAATCACACATCCTGTCACATTTCCTTGGTCAGAAGGAAATCAGAGGAACCACACACCCACAGGAGAAGGAGAACATGCCAGGGCATGAAGACTACTATGAGCACCACAAGACCCAATTTAAGAGTCCAGCTGCTGCTAGATCATAAAATGCCAGACCGTGATAAATGCATAGAAGGAAAGTCAAAGGGATATATACCTGAGGGCCCACTATAGCTATAGTGGTTGGGAATTCCTCTCTGAATCAAAGTTGCTGCCATACCAAGCACTGGGGCGGGGTGAGGTTGTACCTGCTGGAGGGCACAGCAGCCCAAAGTCCCAGAGGATGTAAGAAAGAAGTGTTAGGATATTATGTGCAGGGGGAAGAGATGTCTGCGTCACACAGGCGCGTCCCTCCGCTGGTGGGAGGGGCACCAAAGGTCCAAAGGAAGATACTGAAGAGGATCTTTTCTTTCTTTTTTTCTTTTCTTCCTTCCTTGGCTTGAACTCAGGGCTGCCCCTTTCATTTGGCTTTTTTGTTCAAGGGTGGCCCTCTACTATTTGCGCCACAGTTCCACCTTGACTTTTTGCAGGTTAATTAGAGATAAGACTCTTTGGGGTTTTCTACCCAGGCTGATTTTGAAATGAAATCCTCAGATCTCAGCCAACTGAGTAGCTAGGATTACAGGCGTGAGTCACCAGAGTCCAGCTGGTAACAAATGAGCCTGTAAGCATGGGGGAGTGACCGATCAGACAAGCTTCCTATGCCCAAGGACGGGTGGCAAGAAGGTAACTTGGATTTGCAGAGTTCCAAAGCACAAAATGGCTATGGCCTCTAACTCCCACGAAGGTTTGCGTATTCAGGGACATTTGTTGGTAGACAATATGTAGATGGAGGAAAGGAGTACACAAGGCTAACACCTAGAAATTTTGATTATGATTTTAAATGTTTTGTTTAGCCAGAGGGCAGCCAGTGGTATGAGATTCTG